TACTTTAGGCCTACCATCATGGTTCATTTTTTATAGATCACTGTATAAATTACATAATAAAATTTAAACCTCAAACCACACAACGCTGAGGACCGAGGTGGCGGCGCGTGTCAGTGTGTTGCGTGAAAGCCTGTGAACCGTGAATTTGACCTAGTTTGCATCCAATATACGCCAGTACATGAGCCAAGCCAAGGAAATCTGTTTCTACTACATGTATTCATTATCTTATTTAGGCCTAATTTCTGTTTTCATATTGAATAATTAAATTCTATCAATCAGTTAAATCAATCAATCAATTATTTTTACTACCTGTATTTTTGCTGGGAATGGGGATTTAACATGTAAATAAACACACAAACATTATTACAAATTGCAATTTTATGATTGTTAATTTTTTTTAAATCATGAGTAAGTTGCTACATGAATATTAATCATGTTTTTAACATGTTTCACAGGAACACAAAGTAAAAGTTGTATAATGACGTCCACATTCGAAGAGGGCAGTACAGTAAGTCATGTGTTGTCAACATCTGATGACCTGGATCTCTTGTTTGACATGAGTACTGGGATACTGATGGATGATGTGATGATCTCTCCCAATGATCCAGATTATTTCCAACTGGTAAGGTTGCAAAGGAGCATTTCCTTGTAGGCCTACCTTGTTACTAACCTTTATAACTGTTATAAGCTTTTTTTTGCAAATCAACTTATATTACCCCTTTATTTACAGGATTCCAAGACTGGATTAACTGATGATGTTTTTAATGACCTTCTGCAAATACCAGATGCAGAAATCCAAGAACAGTCATCAACAGATTTGCTGTACATTTCGAAAGCATATTCACCCATTAGCAGTGACAGTGGTATATCGGATGACCAGAAGTCACCTTATAACAGCCAATCAGAGGCCAGCCCTGTTGGCATTGAGGAAATCCCTTTAACAGAAGAGATCCCTTTAACAGAATCATATGTAGACACTTTTGATTTGAGCAGTATCTTGACAGGGTCTGATGCAATGCTGATTGATGGTGACCTTCTTACCGTGACAACATCAGATGGAAAATTAACTGATATGACAATTCAGTTCACCGGTAAACTGTTTAACTTTTTTTCTATTTGACCTTTTAAAATATGAAAAGTTAAAGATGTTCTTAATTTTTATTTATTTTCACTGCTGTTACTTTACTATGGGTTAATTTATCATATGTTCGCATACAACAAATTTGCGATAGATCTCTTGGCAAGATTAGAATTTTGCTGTACACAACCATACACATATACCAAAGGATGCAAACACATACAGTACATAATCCAATGCATTACATTAAATTATGATTATACTATTTTTTTTTATATAGAAACTAAAGAAGCAGTAAAATGTATCAAGTCAGCCACAGATTCTCTGCCACTGTTCATTAAAGATGACACAAATTTTTCGGAAAAATCCTTTAGCAGTGAAAGCAAAGTACGTATCCAGATAATTACAGTGGTGTCTTCTATTAACACCATCACTCTCATCATCACTGCCATCAAATCTATTAGGCAGTGTTTATTTACCTGACAGTACACCTAATCGTACACTCTGCGTATATTAATAAGTTACCAGTGCTAGGTTTTGTGGGTTTATCAAATTTGTTGTGTTTCTGCGTTTTTTTTTGTGCCTCTGACCATGAAAATTATCTTGCTAGAGAATGCCTTTAACACATAGAGATATAATAAGAATACTAGAGCATTAACTGCAATCTATTCGATGTTCGAAATACGCAGAGCTGTGTGTGTGTGTACCATCCAAGATGGCTGCCATAGATTTAGCCAATCAAATTTCACCTAAGCACCATCATTTGCAATTGCGCCCTCAATTTACACAGAAAGTTCAGTACAGCTAGTTACCCGTATGTTTGAAACTCGAGCGTTGTGGTGTATGGGTATAAAATACACGATTTTAATTTTCATTCCTTGGTACACTACTTTATTTTTGAATAAGATGCTCCACTTGGCCTCGTTTTGGCTATGATAGTTTAATAATTTGTTATTACCATTACTCATTATGAATAATGAAATAATAGTCAGTCAGAGGGCTTATTTATGGTAATAATATGTATACTAAGCCTGAAGGTGGCGCTTTACTACGACAGCAATCTTGGATGGTACACATACATAACTCTACATTGCTTCGCCATCTTGTCAGCACTCTATTTGTTTAATAGCTCTATGCTTTAACATCAAATGTTACCTGTACATTATATAGCCTAGTGTGTACCAAGTAGATATGGATACTTACATAACCAATTTTTTTTTTCCTAAATCTCCAGACATTTCCAGCATTAACATTAACAGATGAAGAAAAGAAACTCTTAGACGATGCCAATATCGTACTACCCTCTCACTATCCATTGACAAAGGTAACGTCAGTCTTGATCTGTCAGTGATGCAAATTTATTTAATGAAATATTCTGTAAAATGTATCTATTGGTGATTTATACAAGGCTTTAAAATGATGTGTTGCACCTTTTAGAATTCAGAACCAAGATGTTCCAAAATACCTTGTTGCTCTACTAAAGGCTACACATGGCTAAATTGGTCCAAATTGGAACAGCCCAATTATTGCAATTGTTTAAATTTTAAGGAATTGTTTTTTGGATAATTATTTGACAATTTTTTTTATGCATCTTGCAGGATGAAGAGAAGTCTTTGAAAGCAGTACGAAGGAAAATCAGGAACAAGGTAAATGTTGTCTCCCTCTGTTCTTTCCCTTTGACATCCAACATTAGGTTAGAACCTATATAAACCAAGTCTCTTCATAAGCGCTTAGGGAAGTGCTGTAATGTATGCATGATTAACCTGTTATGATTGATGCTTTACATTTATTGTTAACTGATTGACAATTTTTGTGAATTTTATTTCTTATAGATATCAGCACAGGACAGTCGTAAGCGAAAGAAGGAGTATGTAGATGGACTGGAGCAGCGAGTACAGAATTGTACGAGACACAATATTGAGCTGAGGAGGAAGATGGAGCGAATTGAGAAAGAAAACAAGTTAGTTTAAATTTGAAATCCAATTTACGCAGCGTTATGCGACACAGTCAAATGCGATTTATCATCAGAAACACGTCTTTAGGTCACATGCTTCGACGCAAACTTATCGCGTCTGCATTTAACTCATACAATGCTGCCTGAGGTGGCCTTAACGCATGTGTTAATTTTTGTCAACAAAATTAATTATTTAACATATTTATCACACCCTAGCTTGTTGACCATTTCTCAGTAAATTAATTGATCTTGTACCATCTGTCTTCCATAGATCTCTGTTGGATCAGTTAAAAGATTTAAAGGCTTTAGTTTCTAGGACAACAGCCAAGTCAGTCAGTGCTAGTACATGTGTCATGGTAAGTATGTGGCGATTGCAGTGATAAGAACATCAACATTAAGGATAAGCGATTGCAGTGATAAGAACATCAACATATTCTTTATTTGCATTCACTCCATTGTACAGTAGGCCAATACCACACACAGAGTTCAGCCTAGGGACGTAGATTTCACCATTGTGCTACTCCATGGTCTCAGTACTAAACTTTTAGGGGGCAGACTTATTCCTGCAGAAGTACAGAATAATTCAAGACATATGTACCAGTCATACAGAATATTAAAAGCAACAGGGTAATTCATTGTCATATTTCTTCCCCTTAACTTTTACAGTGTCTGTTTTTCTTTCAGGTTTTATTGTTATCATTTTCTTTATTTGTGGCACCAAGCTTCAATTTGTTCAAATCATCTCCTCTGCCTAGTGGTAGGCAAAATGTTGGAAGTAAGTGTATTTTTATGAATCACAAGATTTCTCTACTTAAATACAAAATACAAAGTAATATCAAGTAAAATTTTCAAGAATTGGAAATATTATGATGCAGAAAGTATAATTCATATTCCAATTATTGAAATCCTGATGATGACATAATTAATGTTGAAATATTGAATCAAAACATGGTGGTGTGTAACAGTAGTTCAACACTTTCTGATCTGAGATCAGAAAGTGGACCTTTCGGTTATTATGAATTGACTCATTGAAAATATAAATATGCTATGAACTTTAAATTAACAGATCAAAAACAAATATTTTCAATAATTTATAGATTTAGCTGTGAAAATCCATATAAAAGCTTGCAGAAATATATTAGTACATATTCATACTAGAAATAGTATTATTTAAATGACTATTAATTGGTAAGGATTTCTTATTCTAATTATCAGTTTATGATAAGTGAAACATTGTTACATGGTGTAACATGGTTTTATTTAGTCATGCATAACAAAATACATACAAAATCCAATTAAAGTTGATGTACAACCCAAAAATGAAAGCTCAATTTGTGTTTCTTTGATAATAGTTGTATCAAGAACTCTGTTGGAAGTTGAAGAGACTGGAGGTGATGAGGTTAGCTATACTACAGTTTCTCCCGAAACAATTGAAACTGACGACGATGTAGAAAACAAATTTTGGCGGAAAAAAGTAACAGTGATAAATGAAAATGTTGAAGATAACAATGAATTTCAAATGGCCGGTCTGGAACAAGGTGTACAGGCAGCAAGTGGTGTTCCAAACCCATCTGTTCTGTCACATAATACACAAAATTCTACAGCAACACAAACAGCAAAGCATCCACAGGTTGAAAAATTGAAAAATAGTGAACATCATCTCCGTAATGATGACCTATAGGACATTTAATATTCTTTTTGTAAATAAGATGTAGATATTTTTTCAAAAGAGTGAATTCATGGAGATTTTTTTTCATCTGCTTTGTACATAAAAATATTGTAAAGTATTTTAGAAGACAAAAACTACATTTACATGAAGTTTTAAAATTGATGTATTTAATATTTTGCTTTTTGTGAAGGTATAAACTTCACAAAAACTCTATACCATTTACGTGTGAAGTAACTTGCTGATCTAAGAACTTGTTCAGCAAAGAGTAGACATCCTAATGAAGTTAATACTATGCCGCTATTTTTTTTATAGCCTTGTTCTGACGGTGTAAGTTACACCGGTGATATCGTAGATATCGAACAAACGCTTGTTATGAGGCTGACACCGACCGTATGAACGGGGTCACCTGATAGAAAACAAGCACTTCACCCCGCAAGCTAACACCGACAAATGACTGGATTAGCAAGGCTCTCATCCGATAGAACTTTCTTTAATTGACTTGCCACATGTTGATTGCAATAACATCTGTAGCTTGACCACGGTCTCTTTTTCGGGCAATTCTACTAGGCCTAGTTGGTTCATAATATCAACCAAAGCATCTTTAAAATTACCTTTTGAATTGTTTTTAACTTCATAATTGTCAAAATTAATCCAAATACAGTAAAACATTACAGAACAAATTTATATTATTACCGTTCGTTGTAAATGTGGTAGTACGTTCGCTGTGTCTAAATATATGGGTTATAAATGCTGTCGAAAATCTCCTAAATGTTAATAAGTAGGCTTAGGGTAGGTGAGAAAAAAAAACTAAGAGTTTTATTTCACTTTTTCGGAATGCTCTACCAAGTCAAGTTGAAAAAATTGAATGTTAAATATATTTTGCCTTTTATTTGTCGATACCTACTGCCCACCCAATTCAAAGCAGGCCTAATCTAATTTCTTTTTTGTCGTCTACATTTTATTGAAACATCAACATGGAAATAATTTTATATCAGTGTATAAGCGCTATAACTATCCCCTATAACTCTCGTGTAGACATAAGATAAAATTTGATGCAATCTTTACTGGATTTCTCATTAACTTGCATCAGATAGGAGTGATCGTCGGAACATAGCTAATGTCTTTCAATCAGCGTTTGTAAAAGTCCAGTATTGTTTATGAATTATTGTAGTTGATAACATCCTGTTCCATAGATTTAAATTGATATTATGGGAGATGTCCATCTTGGAATACACCACAAAAACAAGAATGCTACCATTCTAGGATTGTGTGTTAGCCATCATTTCACATTTTATTTTTATATGGTGTGCCCAAAAGCTTTGTAAAAAGAACAAATTTTGTTAAAAATAGAAATAAAAGTAAATTGTATAGATGAATTTTAGGAATTTATTGGACAACTAAATTATTTACATAATATTTGTTGGGATTCTTTTTTGGGATGCCCTTTTGAATTTTATTTCGAAAGATACATGTAATTAGTGATAATTAATAATAGACAGTTTGAAAAAAACTAAGATGGTGATCTAAGGAGGTAGTACAATGATGTATCAAAGAAGTATTGGATTTGTAAAGCAGACACTGTTAAATGTTGTATTGTTTATACAGAAAAAAATAGAATAAATTATGAACTTGGTAAAGTACCGTACTTGTAGACTACTATTGATTTTAACATGAAACACTAAACATTTTTACAGCTTTAATATATTTATTTCTTTCAACAACAAAAAAAAAATTGCAATATAATTGAATACCTTACTTATAGTGAGTGGTTGCCTTGGTGATATACAGTAGTTAAAGCCACTAGCAGACACAGACCAAAGCAATAAATAACGATGTTTAGTAGCCGGGCAGTTCCAGAGTTGGCCAAAGTTGTGCTTTGCATTCCACACACCACTTAAGAGCAAAATTAAAATTGGGAAAAGTCCTGAGCTTCTAGAGGAATCCTGGACCCTGAATAGATAAGAAAACACTCTCAACCTTCCCCCCTTATTGGCTCAAGAAAAATCCTGGATCTGCCACTAGTGTTTGTTCATGTAATGAACAAGAACTTGTGAGCCCACTAACCATTTTCATCAAATTTAATGACAATATTTTCACATGGCCCACATTGATCATTCTGTTGCTGTTCACAATGTAGACATCTTTAGGTGCAGGCTTGATGCACTCAATACCTAGACTTACATGACTAGTAGCACAGCCCAGAGGGGAAGAAAAGAGGAGGGGTTACTTACAAATACACTAAAGGGCTTTATAGTCAAAACCCTGTTTAATATAAAAGATATAAATACTAAATCCCTATGGTATGGAATTTTTTCCTTTCTTATTCTGTTAAAAGTGTCACATTTAATATAAATATAATGTGTGTCTACAATATTTAAACATTATTACAGCGAATGCAACTACAATTGCACTTTACTAAAAAAACTAAGGTAGAATATAATCTTAAGCTAGTTATGATACCTACATTTGAAATAATGTACATATGTGCAAAATAATGAGGTGCTAATTGGTGATAATAAGATACCAATACCCTGTACGGTAGGCTCCTGTCTACATCTTTGTGGCAATGTAGCAGACCCTTAAAGCTATGGTTATGTCTACAAGTTGAGTGACATAAATACTTGGAAAATAATATAATGTATGCTCAATGTGCGCAAAATTCTGTGTATTGTACATCACAGTACTGTATGCTCCCAATAATGTGCACGAAATACTGAGTATTACATTGCACATCACAATACAGTACTGTATGCTCATAATAATGTGCATTTCATTGTACAGTACATCACACCCGGGGGCTCACTTTTACAGTAAATATTTCCATACGCGTAGGTGCCACATTTATGGGGGTATTTTTGAGGACTTTGTAGCACAAGTGTGGGAATTAATGGAAGAGTATCAGCATGTACTGTATAGGGTATATTTGCGAAGACTTGGTAGCACAAGTGTGGGAAATAACTATGTAAAACTGGTAGTTAAAGTCCTTGCCCCGTTCCGTATCCAAGTAGCGTTAATTTTTCACACGATATTAGCGAAGGTTTTTTTGCTAAACACAGTGCTAAACCTACTGTTGATACATAGCCACAAACAGTAGGGATCACGAACAGACAGAACCGCGGTCTTATTCACGATTGAGAACCAGTACAAGTTTAATTTGGTAAGGTTAAATGGCCGTAATAGTAGTTCAACTGACATTGGATTTTGGTAAATGGTAGTTCAAGTCCCTAATAATTTTCAGTAAAATAGGTAGCGCAATTGTGTCTCATGTGTTGGAGTGGCTGCTGCACCACCGCCCCACCCCCACCATTGAAGGTTGGTATACAAGTGAGCTCCCCGGGATATCACAGTACTGTATGCTCATAATAAAGTGCGTAAAATACTGTGTATTTTATCACACATCACAGTACTAATAATGTGTACAAAATACTGTGCATTTCATTGTACATCACAGTACTGTATGCTCATAATAATGTGAGCAAAGTACTGTGTATTTCAAATACTGTACCTTGATGCACCTTAAATATAAAATCATGACTTGACACAGAATAATCTATGCATTCATCACTATAATAAAAAAGGATCCATTAGGAACATTACATTAAATCACTACTACTAAATGCAGGACTCGACTAATGGATGATGAAAACTATACAAATTTAAACATTATATGTAACCATAACAACTAAAGCGATAGCATCACTATGAAAACTATTCACACAGTTGCTATGATACCCAATTGATTGAATGGTGAACATGTTAACAATCAGCCTCCAAGGCAACGCGTAGAAATCTCTGATTTCCAGCTTCCTTAACAGCTTTATCAAAATTGCTTAATTTGAAGATTGGTCCGACAAGGTTTTCAAACGGGTATTTGTTGCTGTACTTTGCAATGAAATCTACACCAGCTTCTAGATGTTCCGGACTGTAGCTATCTACACCTGTTAAAAAATGAAAAATTTAGCAGTCATCAACACTTACAACATCAAATAAATAAATTATTCAAATTATCAACATCAATAGCTATGTTCAAATTTTTTTTAACCACTGCAAGTTGAGGCAGCGAATAAAAAAATTGCATTGTAAATATGCCATAACTAACCCGATTACAGAACAGAAACATTGGGACAGCTCTCATTAATAACAAAAACAATCCATGAGCACTTAATGCACTGGTGTCTGTCAATAAAATACCAATAACTATAAAGTCTTTGAATCTTGAACCAATAAAATACAAATTTTAAGGTTTTTACATATTTTAGTGCTGTAATACTAATACTGAGCCTATTGTCTACTTTAACTTGATAAGCAAGTTTAATATGGATTTATATACTATCCACATACTGTATAAACTTTGATGTTTTTACTTTAATTCAATTTGATTTTCTAATACAACATTTGCATCTTATGCAATGAAATTATTTGCACAGTATTTCCTCAGTGTTAGCACTTGAATACTGAATAATGATACCATGCAATATGTTAATTCAGCCAATTAAAAATAAATCCTTCACAACTGTCAGCTTTCAGTTTTGTGCTATATATAGCTTAACTATTAGAAGCTTTCAAAATCATTTATTGTTACAAAATGAATTTAGCCTTTCTGATTTTACCATGGAAACTTGGAATCCTGTATACAACAATGCATCAATCATGAGTACTGTACTGCAAACATTGGGAGTCATCAGACATTTGCTCATGAATTCATTGACACTTCTATACTGCAACATTCTATCTAGCAGGGTTGTTATTAACATACAAGATACAACCAATATTATTACAGTATACAAATCAAATCAAATCTTTTTTTATTCTGGAGAAAACTAATCAAGTAACAAAGTATAGGTAAATAAATCAAGATAGGTAGTTAGTTAGTTAACACTTTTCTTAAGTATATTTAATGTAATGGTGTCAAATTTACAGCAGATATCTAATGGGAGACATTTTAAAAGGATTTACGGTTTAATGTTAGCTTTCATCTTATTCATATGTTTTATGAACAAAAACTCAGACTCGGTTGGCCAATCAATCCTTTCTTATTGTATTATTATTTGGTTTTCTCATATCACCATAGACAGTAAGGGGTCAATTATTGAGAATTGTGAACAAGGTTGACGGCAGGTTCACAGAGTGATTGGTGCCAATGTAAAATCCTTAGAAGATATTTTTAATAATAATATACTTAAGAAATTTAATTCAAATATGCAAGAATCATCCCATCCATTATGTACAATTCAGACATTATCATTAATAGATCAGGAAGGGAACAAAAAATATTCACAAAGTGTTTAAGGCATTCAGCATTGTACATCGCTTGTAATTTTTTTAATCAAAATTTAAGGAAATAATTAAAACAGCACTGAAAATTTTGTTTACTAAGAAATATTTATCTAACTAGTTACCACATGTATATTTATGAATTATTATTTTAGGTACAACAAATATCTCAGAACTGTATTATTTTAACAATTTAAAGTTGACTTGTATCTTGTAACTCAGACATGACAAGTCCCCATAAGACCAAAAAAAGAAAGATCAAATATGCATAATCTTGGCCATAATACTGTATGTGATAAAAAAAAAAAAAAAACCTCAGAATAGCTTAAAATAGCCTAAAATTGCCCACATGTTTTAGATGCCAGAGATGTCTACCTTTGCCCCACTAGGGTATAAATTCCTATATGAAAAAATCTGCTTGCTTCACAACATTCTGAGATTCAACTTTGAAACTGGTACTTATGGTAAAGCATTTTGATTGGTAGAACTTCCATAATCAAGTTTATGACTTCAATTAATCAGCCTTATGAAATAACACATAGTACAATTATCTCATAAAACTACCTTTATTGCTGATAACCGATGTAAATTAATATGGATTATCTCAATTAAAATGTTATTTGATAAGGACTGCATTCCATACTCTCATCACTGCCACATACATTGCATTTTAAAAATACCTTGTCGTTAACGTTGATATGATGCTTTGTTCAAATCTGCAACATGCTTGAAAATGCAAACCACAGCTGCATTTTAAATAATTTTTACTATTATTAATGCAAGCGGGGCCAAACAATTTTTAGATTTTAACATTTTCATTATATATTTTCTTTCCTCCTCCCAATATTCAAGAAGGGTTTACAGAAATTTTGGGTTATTGAAAGGGACCAAACCTGAAACATACATTGTAACACATATTTTATGCTCATCTAATAGTGACTTGTTAATTTCAGATGGAATGCTTTAGCCAAGTCACATCACATCAAAGAAAATCAATGCACATCAAATCAAAAATACAAGGAGAAAAAGGAAATACTGATTGCTGAAATGCAAAATTTAATTGGCGCCACCAAGCAACTCTCCCATAGCACAATAACAACTGCACAGCACCAATAATAGATGTTTATTAATGATGTTAGATGTAAATGTTACACTGATTGAGTACTGGTACCAGTAAATATTCACAAAGAGCTCACTTGGTTTAAAATTGATGAAGGCTATTCAATATAAAGCCTTCATCTTTGACAGAAATTTAGATAACATAAAGGTGTAGTTCATTATTCACAATTATAAAATGTGGCAGAGCCAAGCCAAAGGAGGGATGTCGAAATTTTCAAAATTGAGTTTTGTACATATTATGAAACTAGACATTATCATCTTCAAAATGAAAAAAAAAATCACTTTGATATTATAGTTTATGGCAAAGTTATGGGCAATCAAGGTTAGGATACTTGGTAAGTGTATTACTGAGAAAATTGGCTCTGAAATCAGATTTTATGTCTGTACGCTAGGACAAGCTCTCTTAAATACCATTTTTAGAGCATTTATTGATTATAAATCAGAGAAAAGTAAATGTAGGATGAAAGTTAAATGTTTAATATGTACGTTTTAGAGATTTTTAAAAAATCGGAAAAAATGACCATTTTCACGTTTGTGCATTTATTGCAAAACAGCCTGTGCGACTATCACTCCTTTGGCTTGGCTCTGCCACAAATGCTTGTTTCACTTTAGATATATAAATATATTGAGTAGTGATACAAGTATACGCATTCACAAAAAAGTTACAAAAATATCGTGTTTTTCATTTATTTTGCTTAAAAAGTTTGAGTGAATACCCTTAAAAAACCCTGTGAGTTTCAAGTAGTTACTCATCATAGAGCAATGAATGATGATGACATAATCTATTCACTTTAAATAAATGTGTTCTTTTGAGGTCACATTTAAATGTAACTTTTCATCATATAATGAGTCTAGATGCACCGCACAATAAACTGGTCATAATATGTAGGCCTATAGTATTTTTCTGGTGTTTTTTTTTTTCTTTTTCATTAACAATAATAATAGACAAAATAATAATATGCACACCCCATTTCACTTTACATTTATTGTACATTTTAAATGCCATATCTAGGGATGGAGAACTTCTTTTAGAACTTAAGAATATACAACAGATTTTGGAGAACAAAACAGTCTGTAAAATCTGACTTAATAATACAACAATATTATCATTACTATCCACACCACCAGATTCACTACATTACTGTCGTCATCATCATCATCATGACTATCATGATCATTATCATCATCATCCTCATCATTGTCCTCCTCCTCCTCATTCTCCTCACCATTATCACTGTCATTATCATTATCATCATCATTCTTATTGGTATCATGTTTGAAGCCATACCTGTGACTGTGAGGCATTTATCTATTAACTGTCCAACTGTGATATTTAGACTTGTGTTGTGATTAACAAGACCAACAAACATGTACACTCCACCTGGCTTCAAAACACGCACACCCTCCGGTATGACTGCTGGGTTGCCACACACCTGTAAGAAAATTTAAATTAGGAGATGTTACCCTATCTTCACAGCAGTTATGTGGAGAGGTTTCCTTGATAACATTATTAAATCAAATTTTTTTTTTTTATCATTTGATTGCGAAATCTCTCAGTTTATGAATAATTCAGACCGAAATGTTTGAATAATAAAATATACTATACACACTTGTTTGAATGCCCTAAAAACATGTGCTTAAAAATGATTAAAACATGGTGAAAGGGGAAATGGCCCTGAAAAATGGTGAAGGCAATGTGAGAAGCAATGACGACAGCGCAATGATTAAACAATTATGGTGATTATGATGATGTTAATAATGACCAAAAAACCTTTGTGTTGTCTAAGCATTACCAATCCAAAACTATAAAATGTGGTCTAGGCCTACATAGTAGAAAAAACAAGTAAGTTTGAAAAAACTGCTGAACAATCAAACCTGATCCTAGACAACACAACTAATTTTTTTGCATAATATACACAATAATTGATAGCTCCCCACAAGCATATTAGAGCACTTTAAACAGCAGTGGAGGTGACAATGATAGATTATGATAAATGATGATGATGGTAATGATGACAATAATGATAATCATGTTAATAATATAGAACAAATCCAATGTTGGTCAATGAATGATGTCAAGAAATCTGTTTATAATTGATAAAATAAAAGAATATAACCATACCAAAAGCTGTAATTCAGCAGTGTATGCCAGCTTCAATAAGAATTCTTCATTTAATCCTCAATCTGAATTAAATTACTTTATAATGGAAATATTGATGTAAGGGAAGGTAGGCGGATATAAATATGCAAATTCATTCATATTGGTGTCATGTAGAAGCTGGTAGTTTACTCTATAATTTTAGATTTGTAAATGTTGGTTAATGTACTAATATTTGTTTTTACATACCACAAATGAAAATCAATAGATTGCTTTTCTTTGCAAGCCAAACAAATGAAAGATAATAAAAAAAATATATTGATTTAACAATTTGTTAACAATTTGTTACTAAGATAATTAATAAAAAAAAAAATTATTTCTGGTTGGATGAGCACATTATGTCTTACCTCAATAACAATATCGATTGAATCATCGTCTGGATAATTACCTTTCACTCCTGAAATTGAAAAGAAAAAAAAATGATAGAGTTGCATCACAGTAGCAATTTAGTGCAAGTACAACAGTATGGTGCTCAATGACACTATGCACATATGCGCTACAAAACAGCATTGTCATCATTTACTCATACTGATACATTATGTTTTACAAGGTCAACAAAATTATCATCCAAAGTAGAACTAAGGGTTTCATGATTAAAGCAAGCACTTTTGCATTATTATTAAATGACAACAGTTCTTGCTGTGCTGAAACACCTACTTTCTATCCAAGTCTCTCTTTGGCTTTAGCAGATAATTGACTGACAACAATCCCATTGCAAATCCTAATATCAAAAATGTTATTTTGGCTGTACTGCCGTGATTCGGAAGAACATTACACACACAGTATACTGATCATATCACTATTGCAACTGATGACTGCTACAACAGTTGACTATCAGCAGCGATTGACTTTTGACAACTAGTATAGCTGCATACATCACTAGGGGAAAATTATACTTAGGTTAGATTTAATGCATTCCAAAACCTTTTCAAGCATTAAATCTAACCTTTGTATAATAATTTACTGCTAGTGTACTATGTGCAGCTCTAAATTGTTTATTAGTTTATTTAAAATTTTTGAAATTCACTATTAATATGCATGCTTTTCCTTAAAAAACACAAAATAAATACCAAACTTCTAAACATAGAACACTTCAGGACCATATAAATTTATACTTTCTTAAACTAAAGGAAATAAATATATAACATAGATAATTACAGTAAATTTTAATGAATTATCAATCTCATTACACACGTTATATCTAAATTCCAAGGAATTGGTTTTTATGCACGCACTGACGAGAAAAGTTTAGCCTAAAAAATTTGATATGTATTATGTTGTTTGTTCAATGGTCTTATTAGTCTGAAATATATATTATGACCTGTATTAAGACGGTCTTGTTTTTAGCGTCTTCTGTAGGTAAGTCATGGATTAATGTATTGTTACTCTGACCAGCACAAACCAAACTTGGTATTATGTGCTTTCACAAGCGAGGAATTAAAGATGCATAATTGTCTTTTGTGATTGGTTGATTGCCAACTTTTCAATGCTCGATGCATATATAAATGCTCTCTTTTTCTCTTTTTTTGCTTTGGTGGATGGATATAATGTGTAATTTCTATATTAATTTATATTTCTAAACATTTTTTGTGGTATATGATCAATTCACATAATAATATTACATCCATAGGATGCCCCTAAGTGAAATATCTCAGCAATGGATATAATGCGTTTTTTCCAAATCGTGGCAATGTGTACCACTAGCCTTTACAAGTTCCATAAGCATATCATTTCATTTTACTTGCTGTTACATTACTTGAATGAATTAGATGAAGTAAATTTTTCTTACTCAAGTCAAGAGGAATTCCTCCAAAACAGTTTACCAATTTTAAACGTTCTGCAATGTAATCTGTACAGTAGACTTTACTGTAACCTGCCTGATGTAGCATAGCACACCCATAAATACCAAATAACCCGGCTCCCTGTAAACAAGCATTTTCTAAGTTACATTTTCATATTAAGGTAAAGTTTCATATTGGTGATTTAAAGGTTTTTTACATTAAAATTATAATTTTTTTCTTAAATTAAAATTATAGTTTTTCGTAATGATAAAAAAAATAACAAGAATACATAATGAATTAGAATATTTATTTTTGAGTAATAATAATAATAATTACTTGTAATTGACACAATAATGATTATCATCAATATGACGGTGATTAGTAAAATAATGATATTGATAAGCTACCTGTATTAAGACGGTCTTGTTTTTAGCGTCTTCTGTAGGTAACATTGACGTAGCATGAGCCATGGTAGCAATTGCACAGTTTAGTGGGGCGGCCATTTTGTCTGACACATTGTCTGGTAGTTTAACAAGCTTTGTACCTCTTTTTACAATAACATGAGATGCGAAGCATCCGCTGAATCCCTGGTGGCTACTTAATGTCCCTTGACCATACTGTAGAGGCAAATTGTGTGAAATGTAATATATATTGCTCAAAACTATGGTCTATCACTCTTCTCAAATATTGTATTTCTGATTGGAATGGTCAAATTTGATTGTTTTTTTCCTTAAAGTTATTTATAGAGTTCAACAACAGGCTAGATGCCACTTTTTAGTAATCCTGTTGGGAGTTGGTTAGCTTTCTTTAATATTTGTTATTCATTTTTTTCTGTTATGTTGCATTCTGAAAAAGACAAAATACATGATTATATTATGTTTTATTGTTTTAGTTACCAAAATTATGCCGTCTTTCATGCTTCATTGTCAGTCCGGTACATGTCATGTCCTCCCAATTATTAAATAATATCTTACGACATTTGTACATAAGACCAACAGTGGCGGATCCAAGAATTCAAAATAGAGGGGGCTCAGACAAGGATTTTCTCAGACTGAGGGTGCAGACCACCTCAAGCCTACCATGTTGGGGCTGAGGTAATTTATGATTATTACACCTCTAAATGGTCAGAAATGGCACTATCAGACTTAATATATTTATAATTTTCATTTTTCTCCATTTTTTAAAAATAATTTTAAAAACTTCATTTTTGGGGGGGGGGGGGGACAGGCCAGCTCGGTCCCCCTCCCCTGGAATCAGCCACTGACCAAGCTAGTACAGTATTTCAAAGCATGAGATATTGTTTTTCTTGCAGTGAGAGCATTGCAACAATTTTGAATTAACAAGTATTTTTTTTGCTATAAAAGTATGACAATTATACCATACCATAAAACCACTGATACATTTCTGATGGAATCCACTCTGACAAAACTTGCACTTAAAACAAGAATCATAGAGGCTGAAGGAGACACGATCACCTGGCTTGATAGCCTCATCATCCAAACTGCTACCGACTTTGACAACTTCCCCTACAGCCTCGTGTCCTAGCACGCT